CTGGAGTGTGGAGTTTGCAGTCAGCAGTCTGGAGTCTGGAGCCTTGATTGAGTCTTGCAGCCTTTCATCCGCACACTCACAATCCAAACATGCAAAAAATCGCAAAGTGCCAGCAGACCACCGCTTCAAGCGCCATCTCGAAATAAAAATCAACGCCGAAAAATTCCTGGGCGGACCAGCCGCCAGCGGACAACCGCTTCAAGCGCCATCTCGAAATGAAAATGAACGTGGCAAAAATAGCTTGGCGGACCGGCCGCCAGCGGAACCACCGCTACAATGATATATCATCAAACGAGAAAAGCAAAACGGGCGGACCGGCCGCCGGCGGAGAAACCGCCCCATGCGACTATATTAAGGCGGACCGGCCGCCAGCGGAGACAACGCTATAGAAACGATTATCGCACAACAAAATTCAACCGAGTCAATCAGTGCAAAAAATGCTCCGGCTCCATCGAGCCAAGCGTGCGAAGCAGCGCGAACAAACAGCGTAAACTGCATGCGCGCGCCTGCCCTGCTGCGTTGAGTGACACGAAAATGTGTGCTTTCCAGCGCGTAATGCTTCATCACTGCCATGCTTCAAAACGCATGTGTTTGCCAACTCAATGAGCTTAGAATGAACTTAGCGGACTTAGAAAAACCTCTTTTCTAAGCTCAAGATAAGGTACTTATAAGTCCAAGCTAAGTGCTAAGTCACTTATACTCCAGCGTAAGTACGACCCTGTCCCAGTAATCATCATGACGCATCCTCAGCATCACCAGCAGGCAGCATGATAATCATGTCCACGCATCTTCTGCATCTCAAATCGGCTCTAATGGGACTGATAATGATGGTGATCATGATGTTGATGATGATGATGATAATGCGCTTTGATTGGCACGCTTCCATAGAACCTGCGCCCATTCTGGAGCGATCGTGTTCTTTCCTGGGCTTGGTGCATTGTTGTAATAATCTGGTAAGAAAATGCGCCGCTGTAAGTGCCTACAATTCTGCTGCTGCTGGGAGCATGTGCCGTGACATTGCGTTTACAGTAGAGGCTCATCGCCGGTCACCCCGCAAGCCAACCAGTTTTCTCGCCGCAAGTCGGGGCCGCGATGGGTCCCTTATTGTAGTCAGGGTGCGGTGCATTTTTGCTTTTCTTTCGCGCGAAAATGCACCGCTTTTATGATGATGATGATGATGCTGATGATGATGATGCTGAACTGACATAATAATCATCATGACGCATCCTCAGCATCACCAGCAGGCATCATGATAATCATGTCCACGCATCTTCTGCACCTCAAATCGGCTCTAACGGGACTGATGATGATGATCATAATGTTGATGATGATGTTGATGATGATGATGATGCGCTTTGATTGGCACGCTTCCATAGAACCTGCGCCCATTCTGGAGCGATCGTGTTCTTTCCTGGGCTTGGTGCATTTTTGTAATAAATCTGGTAAGAAAAAGCGCCGCTGTGAGTGCCTACAATTCTGCTGCTGCTGGGAGCATGTGCCGTGACATTGCGTTTGCAGTAGAGGCTCTTCGCCGGTCACCCCGCAAGCCAACCAGTTTTCTCGCCGCAAGTCGGACTGCAGACTCCAAACTGCAGACTCCAGACTGCAAACTCCAGACTCCAGACTGCAGACTCCAGACTGCAGACTGCAGACTCCAGGCTGCAGACTCCAGACTGCAAACTCCAGACTGCAGACTCCAGTCCGGACTGCGAACTCCAGATTCCAGACTGCAGACTCCAGACTGCAGACTTGAGACTGCAAACTCCAGACTCCAGACCGCAGACTCCAGACTGCAGACTCCAGGCTCCAGAATGCAAACTCTCCAGACTCCAAACTGCAGACTCCAGACTGCAGACTCCAGACCGCAGACTCCAGACTGCAGACTGCAGACTCTAGACTGCAGAATGCAGACTCCAGACTGCAGACTCCAGACTGCAGACTGCAGACTGCAGACGGCCAACTCCAGAATCAAGACTGCAGACTCCAGACTGCAGACCCTAGGCTCCAGAATGCAAACTCCACAGACAGACTGCAGACTCCAGACTGCAGACTCCAGACTGCAGACTCCAGACTGCAGACTCCAGACTGCAGACTCCAGAGTGCAGACTCCAGACTGCAGAATCCAGACTCCTGACTCCAGAACTCACAGTCCAGACCCCAGAATCCAGCACCCAGACAGCCCCGCCCCAAAACCCAGAAAGGCCGGTGCAGTTTTTTCGATCTTAACAAAACTTAACTTAGCTTAACCTGGGCGGGTCGTGTAGAGCCGTGGAGCCCCTATTATTGTAACTCAATCAACTTAACTGCCAAACTTTCCCCGTGAGGCCCAGTTGCGTCACCACGACTTCACATAACTTAACTTGGACCCGTGGCCGAATTCCACCACAAAATGATCAGGAGTCATTGTGGAGTCTGGAGTCTGGAATCTGGAATCTTGAGTCTGCTGTCTGGGTTCTGTTCTGGAGTTGGCAGTCTGGAGTCTGCAGTCTGGAGTCTGCAGTCTGGAGTCTGCAGTCTGGGAGTCTGGAGTTTGCGTGAGTCTGGAGTCTGCAGTCTGAAGTCTGGACTCTGCAGTCTGGATTCTGGAGTTGGCAGTCTGGAGTCTGGAGTCTGCAGTCTGGAGTTTGGAGTTGGCAGCTGGAATCTGGAGTTGGCAGTTTGGAGTCTGCAGTCTGGAGTCTGCAGTCTGGAGTCACAATAAGGGACCCATCGCGGCCCCGACTTGCGGCGAGAAAACTGGTTGGCTTGCGGGGTGACCGGCGATGAGCCTCTACTGCAAACGCAATGTCACGGCACATGCTCCCAGCAGCAGCAGAATTGTAGGCACTTACAGCGGCGCATTTTCTTACCAGATTAATTCAAAAATGCACCAAGCCAAGGAAAGAAAACGATCGCTCCAGAATGGGCGCAGGTTCTATGGAAGCGTGCCACTCAAAAACATTATGATCATCATTATCAGTCCCGTTAGAGCCGATTTGAGATGCAGAAGATGCGTGGACATGATTATCATGATGCCTGCTGGTGATCCTGAGGATGCGTCATGATGATTATCATGTCAGTTCAGCATCATCATCATCATCATCATGATAAAAGCGGCGAAAGCAAAGCAAACATGCACCGCGCCCTGGCTACAAAAAGGGACCCATCGCGGCCCCGACTTGCGGCGAGAAAACTGGTTGGCTTGCGGGGTGACCGGCGATGAGCCTCTACTGCAAACGCAATGTCACGGAACATGCTCCCAGCAGCAGCAGAATTGTAGGCACTTACAGCGGCGCATTTTCTTACCAGATTATTACAAAAATGCACCAAGCCAAGGAAAGAAAAAGATCGCTCCAGAATGGGCGCAGGTTCTATGGAAGCGTCCCAATCAAAGCGCACTATCATCATCATCATCAACATCATGACCATCATCATCAGTCCCGTTAGAGCCGATTTGAGATGCAGAAGATGTGTGGACATGATTATCATGATGCCTGCTGGTGACGCTGAGGATGCGTCATGATGATTATCATGTCAGTTCAGCATCGTCATCATCATCATCGTCACCAGCATCATCATAAAGCGGTGCATTTTCACACGAAAGCAAAGCAAAAATGCGCCGCACCCTGGCTACAATACGGGACCCATCGCGGCCCCGACTTGCGGCGAGAAAGCTGGATGGCTTGCGGGGTGACCGGCGATGAGCCTCTACTGCAAACGCAATGTCCGGCACATGCTCCCAGCAGCAGCAGACTTGTAGGCACTTACAGCGGCGCATTTTCTTACTAGATTATTACAAAAATGCACCAAGCCCAGGAAAGAACACGATCGCTCCAGAACAGGCGCAGGTTCTATGGAAGCGTGCCAATCAAAGCGCATTATCATCATCATCATCAACATCATGATCATCATCATCAGTCCCGTTAGAGCCGATTTGAGATGCAGAAGATGCGTGGACATGATTATCATGATGCCTGCTGGTGATGCTGAGGATGCGTCATGATGATTATCATGTCAGTTCAGCATCATCATCATCATCATCATCATCATCATCATAAAAGCGGTGCATTTTCGCGCGAAAGCAAAGCAAAAATGCACCGCAGCCTGGCTGCAATAAGGGACCCATCGCGGCCCCGACTTTCGGCGAGAAAACTGGTTGGCTTGCGGGGTGACCGGCGATGAGCCTAGCAGCAGCAGAATTGTAGGCACACAGCGGCGCATTTTCTTACCAGATTATTACAAAAATGCACCAAGCCCAGGAAAGAACACGATCGCTCCAGAACAGGCGCAGGTTCTATGGAAGCGTGCCAATCAAAGCGCATTATCATCATCATCAACATCATGATCATCATCATCAGTCCCGTTAGAGCCGATTTGAGATGCAGAAGATGCGTGGACATGATTATCATGATGCCTGCTGGTGATGCTGAGGATGCGTCATGATGATTATCATGTCAGTTCAGCATCATCATCATCATCATCATCATCATCATCATAAAAGCGGTGCATTTTCGCGCGAAAGCAAAGCAAAAATGCACCGCACCCTGACTACAATAAGGGACCCATCGCGGCCCCGACTTTCGGCGAGAAAACTGGTTGGCTTGCGGGGTGACCGGCGATGAGCCTCTACTGCAAACGCAATGTCACGGCACATGCTCCCAGCAGCAGCAGAATTGTAGCGGCGCATTTTCTTACCAGATTATTACAAAAATGCACCAAGCCCAGGAAAGAACACGATCGCTCCAGAATGGGCGCAGGTACACCCCGGAACCCGGGTGGAACCCTCGTGTTTCCCAAACGACTCCGCTAATTTTGAAGCCGCTCCGTTCATTTCAGCCATTCTTAAACTGGTTCGGGGTCGGCGGCACTGGGCGGCAGCCCTTAAATTTTTGACCCATACCCATTTGGGTGTGGCTCAAAATTCAAGAGCCCAGGTTATGCAGGTTTTGGTCTTTGGCTCCATTGCCCAGGGTGCCATTGTTGGGTACACTTGTTGAGCCACAGCCATGGAGATTGTCCAGGCCACCACGCTCCTTGCCTCTGCGTACGCAAGCTCTGGAAGGCAAGCTCCAGCCAAGTGGGCGGCGCTTGCGGAACTTGGGTGCAGGCTCACGCTCTCCTTCAACACCTACGACGAGCTCAGGACGACGGGCCCAGGTCGCTTTTGACTCACAGCCGAGTCGGGAGTCGGTCGCTCTTGACAAGGGTTCAGAGCAGAGAACTTCAGTGGAGGCCTTCCATAGAGCCAAGACTAGTGAATGGGTTCGCTTTTGACCAGGTGAGTTCCACTTACCCCTCATTTCTTTGAGAGCCGCTCTTGTGGAGGCCTTCCATAGAGCCAACAACCGTCAGCGGGTGATGAACTGCGCCAGCAGACGGCTTCCTGCAGGAGTCGTCTCACGGAGCCGAAGCAGCGCCAGCGGGCGGAGGCGATGGGCAGAGCCCTGGGAAGAAACGGCTATGCAATTTAATAGGGAACCCCCTCCAAAGTGGATGTGGATCCCCACTGTAGTTTGATGTCCACCCAAGGGTCCCTTTTTGTAAAATTCAGACCCACATGGGCGTGGCTCAAAAATTCAGCAGCTGGGGTTGCGCAGGTCTTAGTCTACCTTTCTATTTTATGAGTGTTCCATGTTGGGACCCCCATTGTCGAGCCACCCAAATCAAGCTTCGGTCGCATTGCTTTCTTGAGTATTTGGTTGTGCTCCCACGCCAGGCATCGTGTTTTTGGGCAAACCTTGGGCAGTGATCTGGAGCGACCGCTAGGCTGGCTGGGTGGAAGTGGCCTTCAAGATTGCCGAGCGGCTCCAGAAGGTCAGATGTTGTCCTTCTTCTTCCCAGTTGCATGGCCAGAGGCACCATTTTTTGTTCAATGTGGTTTGGGTGGCCTGAGCTATTCAAGCTCCACCAAGTAGTATTAGCTCGGGTCTCCTTTCGCCTTTAGCTGGGCGAAGTGAAGGGTTTGTGTTGCGGCCGCATGCAGGACTATCGCTGGCAAGATTGTTTAAAGCTTCTTGAGACGGTCCGTGCCAAGCCGGCTGGATTGTGGCTGGTCTCGGGCGCAGACGCGGCAAGGTTAGGGGGTTATCATGTTTCAGAAAGCAAGACATCCCCTCTTTGGATATGAAGGAGGTGTCCTTGATCGGAGCTGCATGACTGAGGGCTGGGTTGATGGCTCAAATCCCGAAACAGCCAACGTGTTTGGGGACGACCTCTTGGATGTTTGCTTTGGGGTAGTGAGGACAATCTTGCCATGCAGAGGACTTCTATTGGGCAAGGAAGGAGCAAAAAAGGTTTGTGGCTCGCTTGTCGTGCGCCAGCTCAAGGATCCGTAAAGTTGTCTCCGGTGCCTTGAAATTAGGATCTTCTCCATAATTGTGATGTGCGACCTGCTAGCTTGAGACATGGGACAGTTGACGTTGAACCCGGAATAAGTGGGGGTGGTCCCTCCAGGTGCCCCACAGAAACAAGAGACACACCCCTCCAAAAGTGATGACTCGCCCACCAAAAGGGGACCGGCCAGGAAGTCGCTCAAACCCGCGTGGCTGGGGAGAAGATGATGGAGGTGCGGAATAGACACCATCGTATTCCGCCGGTTCGCGACAGAATTGGACGCTGAGGAGATCGAGATGTACATAGCCATGTGCCTTCAGAAAGTTGGGAGGGAGGATGAGGCTCGCCACCAAAACAAAAACCCACGGCCACTGCCTCGCAAGGCTTGGATTCGAGCCAGGCCATGGAGGTGTTGAAGTCTGTCAAAAACACCTCACGGAGCCGGAATCGAAAGGCCGGGACGTGTCTCAAGCGCCTGGCAGAGTCGGTGACTGAGTCGCTGCCAGACTCTGGCGCCAGGCACAAGCCCAGTTCGTGATGGATGCGCCAAGCTTAGAGACTTCGGGGCCCAAGTCTGATGGCCACGGTTCAAAACCGTTTGGGGATCCCATTTTGGGGTAGGTGAATTCACCACCCATTTTCGAACCATTTTAGTGGGGATTGGGATGTTCACTGGGGGTACGATTTGGGTTTTGACTCATGGCCAGATGATGCTCTCCAAGGTCATGAGTGTTGATCTGCCCGAGAGCAGGAACGAGGAGTTTCACAAGGCAGGGAGCTTCCGGTGAGGCGCTTTTGGGGATTTCTGGTCTTGGCAACTTTCAGGTTTGGGATGACAACTTCAATCTTCCAAAGGCCTGGCTTCCAGATCTCGCACTTGGGTTTGGTGCTCCCTTGCGCAGGACATGACGCGGCAAGTGGGTGCAGGAACCAGAAGATCTGTCAACCTGAACCTCTCCACCCAGGAGCCCGGTGCGGCTTGGCGCGCGTGTGACTGTGTGACCTCTTGCGCGGTTTCCCAGGAGCGGGCATTCCGCACATGGGCATCCCAGTACTGGGAGGCCTGGCGTAAAAGCAACACCCACACCCACAGCAAAGCGGATGGCATGGTGGGGAGGAGCGCTTGAAGAGTCCGGTCTACTACTTTGCCCTGACCCTTTGGGTGCGCGCCTTACTGCTCGTGACACGCATGCGGGATAGATGCGTATGTGCTTAGGTGACGTGGCCTTTTGCCATTCCAGTGGTATCTATATTGCGAAGGTCTGGCATGCTTGAACCGCTCTCTTGAGCCGGCCAAACGAGAGCTGGATGCAATACAAGGCAATCACAGAAGCTTCTTTTCTGCTTTCCGTTTGGCCAAGGCCCCGTAGCTAGCGAATTATCCCAAATTGCATAGCAAGTGCACTCCGTGCTGCAGTAAGCTCGCAAGCCGGAGAAAGTCTGAGCGCGATTTTTGCTCAAGCTGTGCGTGCGGTCACCCAACTCAGCAGCTGTTTCGCGCTCAAGCCATGCGTTGATGCGTACTGCGCACGAGTTACTCGATTTGCCGGAGCAAGGCTTCCAGGAAGCAAGTCGACTCAGCCTCCTGAAAGCGATTGAAAGCACGAAAGCTCCATGAACCCTCTAATTTGTAGGCCGATAGAAGTGGTCCCTAAGCAGCCCGGCATGCCGCCCAAGCTCGCAGATGATACTCCCTTGGCTTTCAGCGTGGAGAATCCCCGAAGGGCTGGTTCCAAGGACGGAGACAAAGTGAAGACGCACATTCGCTCAAACTTGTGAGGGAAACATGGAGAAACGAAATCCCTAGCTTTGAGAGGGTGCTCTAGTGTAGAATGCGCTCATTCACATTGGGCAACATGGCTGAAGGGCTGTTTTTCACCTTTGGAAGCTCACTTCGCTGTTCCCTGTGGCAAGCTGGCAGCTCCGACAGGTTGTTGTGCGCTGAGGGCCTTGCCGAGGCTGAGAAGTGTGGTTACCATTTTTCCTTGAGAGACAAGGAAAACCTTGCAAGATGGTTTGTGCAGCTGAAGGATTTGAACCAAGATGGCAAGCTTGCGGCGGATCTCAAAAAGCACAAGCTGGATGCATCCATTGACTTGGAAATCATCTTACCTGACGGTTTCCCCATGGAGCCGCCATTCGCTCGTGTCCTGTACCCGCAGCTGCGTGGAGGCTATGTCTTCGAAAGGGGCGGAATTTGTTTTGAGCCGCTCACACCGAAGGGCTGGGTTCCCTCCATGACCCTGCCGGCACTTGCGATAGCCATCAAAGGCATCCTGGATTACGGGGAGGTGCGTGTTGCTGGCGTGGGGAACAAAGCAACCAGAACAGTGCCGCACTACACGGAGGAGGGTGCGCGAAAGGACGGCGGACAACTTTTTGAAGGGTGATTAGGGTCGAATCAGGGAGTCAGACGCGGAGTAGTTTATCGCCCCTTTTTAAGGGAATCCTCTATATGTGTCAGCAACCTTGAATTGAAGCACATGTCAGGATCACACTGCCATTTCAGCGTCACATCGCGGAGGGGCGTGCCTGGCTGAATTTCGATTTGCATGAGAGGCTTCCTTGTTGCAGTGCTGTGGCAGGAGAGCAGTACCTACGGATCCATCAAACATTACTCCAGTTGATCAACACAACATTCAGAAAATAGCATTTTGATCCAATTGAACTCATGAAACAATGACATCTAATACGTTCAGCGTGTTTGCAATCTCTGTCGCTAAGTGCTCTGCTCGCTGTTGCGCTGCTGCCTTTGCGCCGGTGCGCTATTTCGCGGTCGGCGAGCGCTCTGAATACGTTTAGCCTGATCCGATATTGTTAGGCTACGGATGTATTAAAGGAGAACATATACGTAAACGAAAATATACATGCATATTTATACCACAAGTTGTTTTTCAATCTATAAAGTCATATAATATAAGCACTATATTTTGTTTGTACATGTTTTACTCGAATGAATTATATACTAGACATAGTCAGATTACGTATATATGTTCCCGTCGCCCGTAGTCCCCAGCGCCCCCACCGCATCCTGCGGGGGGGCTTGTGCTACCTTCTATGGACCCCCCCACCCATCCTACAGGGGGGTGGGGGAGGCTTGTACTGTTGCACTGTGCTACCTTCTTGACAGAGTGCCATTGCAGGGGGTGGGGTGGGGGCCAAGGAAGACTGGATCATATTTCTATATATAAAAACACAAACGATTTTAGATTTGCTTTGCGGAAGAATATTTGCAATCACAATACAATTATATTGATACAGTGATTATAATGCATACATATATATAACATATTTGGGAAACGGTATGGACTTTTCTTGGTATTTAATAAATTATATGGGCACTGTTTTGATTCTGTGTTGTTATGTAATTTGGGTTATTTGCATGTGTCAGTTTATTTTTGTTTAATTTTTTTGTTTAATTTACGTTGATATTTGGGCTGTTTTGTTATTATATTGTTTGTACATTATATAGGCTTTATGATGGTTGTAACATTTTGTGGGGTGTGTGTCAAGGGTGTACAATGGGAATGAGTTTGGTTATAAAGAGTAATTTGGAATAGTGTAATCTACTGTTTTGAATTGTAACATTATGTTTTACAATGCATACAAAACTATTAACATAATCATTGAATATTTTGTATTCACAAGTTGCGTACACAATAACACACACACACTGACATATATGTAATGCCCCATATATTTAACACGCAACATTTCGATATACATCATTTGATAGACATAATGCTAATTATTTCTTTTTGACGAACTTGTGAACATCTAAATCGGATTACTATTATTATACATACATCTATTTATACATGTACATACGATGTATTTATACAATGCTAATACGTGTTTATTAATTGTTATTTTATTTACATATTTTACGTAGTATTATTTTATTATTGTTGTTATCAAACATCATGACCTTTTGTTGCATTTCTTAAGTATAAGAGGTGTAATGCAATTATTGTTTGTTTTATTTGCCTATGTAATATTTTTTGCAGATATAAATTGTTGACTTGGAATATTTTAATAAATATCACTTACTCGGGGATGTATATGTACTATCCCATTTTGAGGTGCAATGTATAGCTATATCCAATTCATTCTATCAAGTGCTTGTTAAAACACATACATACATAAATTGTGACCCCCACAGTGCCAGGCTTATAGGGTTGCCAAGTGCACTGGACACTTGACATTTCTGGTGCTATTGAATCTGTTGCGCAGGTAAAGGATGCATATGCGCATAGCAAGGACTGGATTTTCGATCTGTTGGCATGTGGCCCAGAATGTTTTTCCTCGACGTACCTCTCGGACTTGCCAGAGTGGTCAAAGAGGCCCTCTGTTTGGGGCGTGTTGCGCCATCTCTGTCCGACCATTCCCCAGTTTAAGCCGAAGGAGAACATGCCAACCTGGTTTTGTTTTAGATAGCTCCAGACACCTGGATCAAGGACACCGATTGAGCTGGTGTTCTTCCTTTGGTTTCCCTCACCTCCCAACATGGGTTAGCAAAATTTGCTCGACCTTTTATGGACCTTTTGGACCTGTGAACAAAACCACAAACCCTCCATTTGGGTGTCCTTACTCCCTTTTGGATTGTAGTTCCAGGGCATACTTGTCATTGTATGAAGGGGTATATATTTAGGGAACGCAATGCCTTTGCGAGTTCCCCCATGTTTGAGACATCCCATAGCACCCTCCAAATCGGGACCTAGCTTCGTTGCCCATTCGAAGCTCGCAATTCGAAGAGGGCGGAGCAAAGAACCTGTTTTGGATCGTGTCCAAAATGCACTGGATTCTGTGTACTTCTGGACGGACTCGCAGCCGCAGCTGAGCATCCAGCCTGTGAAATTCATTTCGTAGGTTCATATAACCAATGCTTCGGCAGCCCCTTGCCTGGGCAGCTGTTCTTGTGGGGCTGACCGCAGCAGAACGGGTTCATCAGGCGCCATGGCTAATCGTTCTCATCATTGGGGATGAGGGGGCTGTTGTGCTTTGCAATGCACTCCCCACAGCATGGCTTCACTGACTGCTGATGTGCCGACATGAAGCATCCTATTGCCTTGGCTTTTGTTCTGTGATGTTCCGTAGCAAAGAAAGATTGCAACTGTTTGGCAGTTGGACTTGATACTTCGGAGGCAACAGCAGGATTTGGAGATGCCTCCAGTTTTCAGTGGCAACTTGACGTTCCTGTCTCCTTCGACGCATTCTTGTATGGCTGCGGTGTTTGTCCTCGACGAATCGGGCCGCCAGGTTCTTTGGGAGCGCAGCTGGGACGTCCTGCCGTTCCCCGACAGCTGTGACAAGCTGGTCTCGGGCGGGTTCCAAGTGCCCAGGGAAGGCGTCCGTCTGCAGGACTGCACCATTGGCGCCGAGGCGAAACTCAAGGCAGGGCGTCGTACTTAGTTGTTTTTTTTGTTTGGCTTGAGGTGACCAGGTGGCCCGCCCATGTGGGTGGAAAAAAAAAACCGCGCCTTTGAGTTTAGTATTCGGGCATCCCTTAGCTTTCAGGAGCATTGCAGAACAAAAACATGGCCGCGCCGAACAAAAAACACAGTCTCTGACTGCTGCTGGAGCCTTGAAAGTCAAACAGAAGTGCCCAACAAATGGGACTTGTCCAACACACTGTAAACCGATAAGGAGTACAAAAAACCGATAACGTTCAATAGCGTTATAGTGTTTGGCCACGGTTTTTTTTTTCACCCCATGTGAGGATTCGACATTTGTGGTTGCAACATGGGCCAGCGCTCCTTTCCAATGACGGAAGAAGGCTTCCTCCAACTGGTTGCTTGCGCGCGCGGCTTCGCACAGCCTTGAGCTTGTGTTTGCTTCAGTTGGCAGGCCAGTTGTCGCTTGCCTTTCCATCATGTTGCTTAGCCACCTGGAAAGGATCCTTACAGCTCCAGGAAGTGGTGCGAAAGCTTTTTGCGCGTGGGTGCTTCATCGAATGGCAGGGAAACAACCTTCCCCTGTTCGTTTACCGAATTCAATGAAACCGCCATGTGGGCTGCCGCTGCCAGATCCAGTTGGACGGGCCGTTGATCGTCGACGGGAGTCTCACGGTGCGGGGCCGCGCCGAGTTCAGGGCCAGGTCCGAGCCTTTCCAGGAGGCGCCAATGTTGACGCGGATCCAAGCTTTCCGGCGACGCCTTTCCCCCGCCAAGAGATGTTGATCTCGATGCTACCCAATCCCCAGATCGGTTTCAGGTTCCGTGGGAGTGTAAGAGTTCCAGGAGGTGGCGTTGGGGTCTACGAAGAGTCGCCCACAGGCTGGTGTTAGCTGTTGGCTTTTGTGGCCTCGGATCAAGTGTGCGAACATCTATGAGGCGTCATGTGGCTCAGCTCACTTCTGCTTGCCCATCCGACATCGCCCTGCTTCCGTTCATTGAGTTTCCCCGTTTCATTTGTTTCTGTTTTCCTGATGCTCCAACCTGATGGCTTTAACTTGGCGTGGCAGACGAGAGCATCAACCGCAGGAGAACGACGCAATTCGTTTCGTTTCCGCTTCCTATCCGGTTTGTTCCTTCAACTAGCTCAACGAAGTTTGACCCCATTTGGCCTTTCGGTCTCTGAGATTTATTCTTTACAGGTGGACCAAGCAGTTCTCAGTCCCAGCATGTTGACACAGCTCGGGGTCTCTCGCCGCAGCTCGGCGGCGGATTCTGCAGGCTTGCCTCCAAGTGAAAGATGGCCTGACAATCTCCGGCCATTTGGAGATATATGGCTGCCACAATGATGCAAATGATGACGAAGGCAGGGGCAATGTCATTGGAGGCTGCTTGAATGCCTCCTCCTTGTCCATGGAGGACCGGCTGAGTTCGAGTTGCGCTAGAATTGGTTGCGGCTCTTGGGGGACACTTTGCGGCCCAAACAATTTGAGAATCAGCCCAAGGCTGGTCACGTTGACTCCATGTGATTGTTCTGTCACTTGGCGAGTTGGGCTTTTCGCATTCCTTTTGGCTGGCAGGACGGGAGTTTGAGCCTGGAAAAGTGCAGCTCGAAGGGAGCTGGAGGGTGCGTGGCGCTGGGCAGCCTGCGCCAAAGGAGCGGCGTGGGGCCTTGGGCCTTGGAAAGTCGCAATGTGAGGGTTGCCTGGTTGGATGTTGCGCTTGTCAGGGCCGGCAAGATGGATTTCGAAATATGTGACGCGAAGATAGGCGGAGGACAGGGCGGGTCGGGGCGTTTGGTGCCTTATGGAGGTGTGGGCCGGAAATGTGAGTTCTTGCCTGCCAGCGCACGTGGCGCAGGCCTTTACGTGGCGGGTGATCTGGCCCAAGCTGGAGGCTCAATGAAATTCTTCCAATGCTCCGCGTCAGAGGCAGGAGGAGGCGGCTCAGCTTGCGCCGGAGGCTTTGCGGTGCTCCAATGATTTCTGTCAGCCTGAAGGCTCGTTGAGTTGTGAAGAAACGTGCCCGGGAAACAGCGTGCAGTCCCCATGTGTCGCGTCACCAAGAGCGGGTTGCTCACACCCGAGGACTGAACGTGGGAACTCTTTCCACCAACGGCTCAATATACCTTGGAAACTGCAACGCGCTCGGAGGCGACAAGTGTCTGTGAGTGTCTGTGAGTGTGAGTGTGATTGTGGGTGTGGGTGTGGGTTTCAAGAGACGAACGTGCACGGTCTATTCCTTCGCGGGGGGGGGGAGTGCCCGAAAGGCGCCGGCGCCTTCGTCCACGGCGCCCTCCACCAGGGCCCCGCGGGCTCTCTATATTGCGAAGAGTGCAGGGCGCAGGGCTTCGGCGGCTGCCTGGGCGTCCACCGCGGCGGCATTGCGGCCGAGGGCCGCGTGGAGGCGTTCGACGTGTTTGGGGGCGACGGTGCCAGCATATCGGCGGCCTCAAAGCACCCCATGTTCCACGAGCAGTTGACCCCGGCAATGCGCCCGAACGGCGGCTCCGCCGTGGCGGCCTTCAAGGGGCCCGCCGCGTTCCACGAGCTTGTTGTACAACAAGCCGGGGATGGCCCTGCGGTGGTGGTGGCTGGTCTGTTGGCGGCGCAAGAGCTGACCGCCAGAAGGGGCGCGCGCGTGGTGGTGATGGCGTGGGAATTCGATGTGAAGTCCGCAAATTGCGAAGGAGCCCAATGCGGCTTTGTGCTTAATTCTTCCAGTTCTAAGTGCCTCGCAGATTTCAGGCAACATTTTGGCGGTTTTTGTAGGTGTTTTGGGGCTCTTTTGGGTTCTGCCCTCTGCTAAGGTACAACTTTAGTGCCCCGGGTGTGTGGCCCCACTGCGCTGCCGGATCCGAAGTCAGCAATTTTACAAAGAAAGTTGACCCTGGCCTTGTCGTCCGCGGGTGCGACAAGTGCTCTGCAGGATATTTCCAGTTACGGAGAAGCGTGGCTGCCAGCTGCACGAAGTGTCCAGAATATTGGAAGTTGTGCGACATTGACAAGCTGGAGACGCTCCCGGGAGCCCTGACTGCAAGGCACACTTCAACCCAGAAGTTCCGCATGTGTGGGATGCCACAAGATGGCAGAGGTGTGGAAAGGGTCGCACGCAAACCAAAAAGGAGGTGACTAACGGATTTCTGTGCAACCAATGATCAATGCCGCACGGGCCAGGCCGTCTTGGCGAGAACTGGCGCACACGTTGCCTGCGTCCAAAATCGCCGAGGTTGGATGGCGCACATCAACCTGGAGAAGCTGGAGCTCACGGGAAGGGCATTTCAGTGCCTCAGTGAGGCGGCTTGCCCTGGTGGGAAGCTGCAGTACGGGGACTTGGTGAAGCCAATGTGCTCAAGAGGCCACGGATTCTGCAGTCGATTTTCCGGGAGGGGAAATGCCACGCATATGCGCTGCAAACATCAAATCTCAGGATGACACTTATTTGGGGATTGTTTTCGGAGATTGATTTCCATGGCGGACATCGTGTAATTTGCGCCGTGGGTTGGTTTTTCTTCTGCAAAGTGTTTCTTTTGTCACTATTGATTTTTTCAATGGTCAAAGCCATGTTTGCTCATGTCTTCCGGACATGGACGCTCTCATGCTGTTCCTAAAATGGGAGTCATGTTCTTTGCCTCCAACACTGTAGATGATTCATGAAGCCGCGGCCGAGTTTTTGGCAGTGTGGCCAAGTCCACAGTCCACAGGACCCCAAGTCTGCATCGCCCTCAGGACGAACTGGCGTCCTGTGCGCTGCCTGCACCAGTGAGTATTATGCCACCAAGGGCGAGTGCAAGAAGTGCACGGAGGTCTCCCAAGAGGACAAGTTGCACCTCTGGGGCATTGCCACTGCCGTGGCCGCCAGCGGCCTCGGCCTGGCTGGCATAGCGTGGCTGTCACGCGGCGCGGCGACCGAGTACTGGCAACAGGTCGGGGGAGCTCTGGCGCTTCGAATTGAGAAGGAAGTTGCCTTTTACATAGGCAAAAACAGTTCATGCTACCTTTTGAGCCATTTGCTGGAAAGGCAGACCTGACGTGGCACGTGCTGAAGGAGCTTTCTGCTCGGCAGGCGGGGTCTGACTTGGATCACATTGTCGTAGTTGCTACGCTCCAGGCGGTGGTTCTACTTCAAGTAGCTCAACTATATGGGGTTCTGGCAGCGCTCGCGCCAGATCCATCCACTGGCCAAGGCGCGGGAAGAGGGTTCGAACTTCGCCAGGAACATATTTCGGTTTGAGTTGGTATTCTAGGGGCTCTAAGGCAGCTGGCAGGGTTTTTGTACTCGCTCTGTCGTGATACGCCTGCGACTTGTGAACAAATCTTCTATAGACGGCGCCCCTGCCCCAAGGCGCCCCAAGGTTCCATTTTCCGCATTAGGTGCTTCCCGTGAATCCTTCTGGGAACGCACCTACGTGGATGCGTTGCAGCTGAACTTGGCACAGGCGCAGGACAGCAGAATAGAGTGCTTCCAAATCGGATTAATGAGACTCGACTGGATGTCAACAGCGCGCAGCCTGCAGGACGCCTTTAGGCTTCAATGCCTTTGGCATGGTGAGAAGGTGCGATTGGTGTTTGCGTTGGCATCCCCCATGGTGCCCCTGGTCCTGCTTCTAACATGCGGTCTGCTGGAGATCATCAAGCCGGCCATGGGTGGCCTGGTAAAATGTCCAGAAGAGGAGCTGTGAAGAGTCAGGCGATTTACGCAGAAAGGTTCCTCAATGTTGCCCTGACACATTTCCACTCAGAGCGTGGCAGATCTGGATGGAAGCTGAGGTACCGGCGCCACCTTCAAGATTTTGACATTTTTTTTCATCGGTGGCGCCCGTGAATCAGCGGCCCTTCTTCGCTGTCAGCTGGTCGACAAAGGACCGGGGCAGGGAACAACGTGGACCCGGGAATGCTTGAAGGCATTCTTTGTGTCATCTAGCCTGGCAAAGCTTGCGACTTGCGTTTTTCCTTCTTTCCGTGAGGCGGCGCGACTCTGGGCAACTTCGCGTTCTTGCAGAAGCTGCCATTCTTGCCCTGCTCCGAATCGGAGGGCGTTGCGAAGTGGGCAGTGACCTGAGGGACCTTAGGCAATTCAGGTTTGGCTTGCAAGCACTTCACTTTACTTGGCGGCCTTGGTTAGGTCTACACAGTCGGCTACTGCACCGGGGCAGTTTATGTCACACTTATTCCTGCCGCGCTTCTGTTTCTGTACGCGCGCCAGCACACTCTACTGAAGCTTGCCTCTTTCTATGTTGTTTCTGCCTGCAACTTTATTTGAGTGTGCGATATTGTTCTGAAAGACGGTCAAAGCAGGTGCGGGCCCGACAGGCCCCCAGGAGCATGCAGCGAGGGATGGATCGCATGCTCAAGGGGGTTGGCCAAAGATTGTTGATCGTTCAGTACTAAGACCCGACACAGCATCAGAAAACCCGAATTTTGTATCAGTTGTCAATCGGAGACATGTGACCATATAATATGACGTTTCAAGCAGCAGGTGTGTGTGTGTGTGTGCGCGCGCGCGCGCGTGGACGTACCTGCGCATTGGAGAAGGTTGATCCGCTGTGGTTTGCTTGGCCCTGTTAAAGCAACTAGAGGGAAGCAGACTAGAAATCACTTGGCTGAGATATTTTTCACTTGGGCAACGCCTACTGTTAGCGTCCTTCTGAGGAGACACGGCAAGACCATCTCGGCCCAAACAAAGAGGGCGAAGAGCAGCTGGATCACGGAGCTACGCTCGGTGAAAGCTTCGGAGGAACCTATGCAGGCCAGGACGAGTCACCCATGGCGGATGAATGAACGGGATGGGTCTCCTTGAATTGCCATGTAACATCCAGAGCAAAAGGTTATGATGGGTTCCTTCATCGGGAGTCGCACCTATCAGCCATTGCCGTGTTTGCTTCTCATATTATGTGACCAAGTCTGCTTAGCGATGGTGACACGGCCAGCACGGAGGGCAGAGGCTGGTTTCAGTGACAGGTCAATGATGAGCACCTCCTCGCTGCTGCAGTGGCCCACATGGTAGTCACATTCCAGGGCAAGGCGAGGGTCCCCAGACTCACCAACCCTTTTCTCCACAGGTAAGATCTAATTCTAAACTCTTAGACCCTTGATCTATTTGTGCAACATCTCATGAGTTCCCCAGCGTTTGCTACAATTGAACGTCGACCCGAAAAATCCCGCGCTGGCCTCCCGCCCCAGAATTTTCCGCAAGTATCCCTTTCCAAGTCCCTGCAGTCTACTACCAGGAATGCTTGCCGGTGTGTTTGGTTGCGCCCATCATGCTTGTCAACTGTTACAAACATAGGGAGGTTGGGGGGGGGGGAATGTGCGACATCAAACAGTTTAGTGTTGATTGACATGGCGGGTTCTAGGTGGAAGATGACTGGAGGGAGGGTGCTATGTTCCACAATTGGACACACGAACACACAAGCCGCACGTAGGTCCGTCTGCAGCTGCAAGACGGCAAGGCGTGTCTTGGCTGACAGAATCTCATGCCATGCGCACGGCCTAGCGGCATGCGTTAGTCCTCTTCAGCACAAACTCCCAGAGAGTTGCGCTTGCCGAGCCAAGGGAGATGCAGTCATCAGAGCGTGAAGGACGAGCACCAGCTGAGCTGACCGCAAACCGGCCGTAAACATAATGAGCAGATTGCGTCGAAGCCCAGCGCAGAAGTTGATTCCAAGCTCGAGTACGGACAGACATTGAGCCACTTGAGAAGCGATTTCACTGCCAGTTCATGGTTGGCTTGTAATTTGGGAATGCCAAGAATGGGCATGGGCTTGCTAGTTTAGGCTGGCGCGGATGGTGGCAGTTTTCTGCTCACAGGTCTAGACGCATGTTAATGGGCAACGGAGCTGCTTGCGCACTCAGGTGAGCAGCTTCTTGGAAGGTGGGGATGAAGTAGAGGAGATGCTCCGCTCCCGCGCCATCATGGAGATGCTGGTGGAGCGCTGTGAGATGGAGAAGGCCTCCGAAACCAGCCGAGCCTTGGCAGCACAAATCCGGGCTTGCCTTCAAGCAGCAGCGGCCAGTTCTTTCCAGGTCTAAATGATGAGGCACTGTGAGGAGTTCTGAAACATGGGCGGTGCTTTCCGCAACATAATTGTTCGCTGACGAATTCAAAGCCGCGCCACGCTTTCCGGGTGCTACATGCGAGATGGAGGAAGACTTGCCATCTCACACAAATTCAAGTGGCCGGAGCTGATGCCGTGCAAGGACCTTCGACATTGACCAGTGCCTCCCGCACATTGTCTTGCGGGCACACATACACAAAAATGTGCCAGGCTTTCTGGGGGTTACATGTGAGAGGCGTGACTTGTTGAGGTGCTATGAAAGCTGAGGCTTGCTCTCTGGTGCCAAGGAGGTATTCTTCAAATATGCTGCGTGGCGGCAGGTGGACGGTCTTTGTGGAGGGCTTTCCAGGGCCACACGTGCGAGCAACCCTGGGCAACGAACAGGGCATCCCCATGCAAAAGTGCAACACGGAGCAAGCCGACTTTGCCCATGTCAAGGTTTGCCCGGCTTTCATGTTTTTTTAAGGCCTTCTGCCGCTTCGTGTGGATGGAGATGGCGCAGAAGCTCTTGGCCGTTGGACTGGTCACCGCCGCATGGCGGAGCGTGCCGGAACAAAGCAAAATCTAGCGAAACAAAGGGATTCGAAAGACAGGACGACAGCACGACGTAGGGGCGGGAGAAGTGTTGACGGCTCATGCTGTGCCATTGCGACTTGCAATGCGTTGGCCTCAGTGCCCCTTGAAGAGTGATGCAACGATGGCTACAGCGCTGGGGCATGGTGAATCAATCCTGTGGTACCAAATGATGTTTGCACGTGCCCTGATAATCACCCGAGTGCCAACCAGGTAATCGGCACGGACGATGGCCTTCACCTCTCCCTGGCATGTGTCCTTGGCATGGCGGCGACAATTGCCATGGTGCAGCCTTACATCCAGCCACAGGCGCGATCCCTTGGCCAGTTGCATGATGCGAACGGGCGGCCCAGATGCTTTGTGAAACAAGCTGAACGCGTGACCCCCCGTGCCAGATGAACGAGCTGCACATCTTTTCCTTGCTGTGCTCCTCCGCTGGACGTGATCACTGTCAATTCCTGGAGGGCGCATCAAAGCGCAGGGGAGCACTCAAATGGATAAAACACAGCCTTATCCGAGTCTAGCAAGTCACACAGCTGTTGCCACGGTTCTCTTCAACTGATGTTGGGATTCTTGGACATGGACGCTCCGGCCTGAGGCCTCGCAGCAGCAGCCCTAGGATTTGCTGGAGCTGCCGACCCCAAAGCCCATTGGCTTTGGCTGAGCCGGGTGTCTGTGCTGCTTCCTTTCCTGCTGGCCGCCGCGCAGGCATACCAATGGCCGGAGCTGTGGAAAACAGGTCCAAAGTGAACCTTTGGATAAATGGGAAGCAGCTCCTGGGCCCTGGTCCTTTGATTTGAGCCACATCTTTGCAAAGACATCTCTCCCACGAAAAGAAGAGTCCGCTTGTTGGCAGGTGCTGCGCCCGGACAGCTGCGAGGCTCTGGCCGTGCGCCTCTTTCAGGAGAGCCGAAGAGCCCAAAAGGCCAGGTTTCGCCTCGGGTTGTCTTGCTCACAGCTTCTTGGGGGACTTAGCCGAAACCCCTCCGCAGCCCCAAGCATGTTTTTTGAAAGCATTTGAGAGTAGCAGCCAGGTAAAACATAGTTACCTGCGTCCGCAGTCTCCGGGCTATTTCTCTGTTTTTTTGGTTCTCCGGGTTTTATTTTCAGGAGACTCTTTCGGGTGTTTCAAATGCATGAATCAAACAGCAGGAATGGCTTCCAAAAGGCAGGAGTGGAATCAACAAATAGGTTCTTGGTTGTCCGGGCCCGCAATTCTAAATCACTCGAGTGGGCATTCCACTGCTTTTGCTGAAAATGCACTCTCCGGAAACTCTGTCTTGTTGGATTTGCGGGGTTTTGCGGGAGTTTGCGGATGTTTTGCGCTGAGTTTCAGGCGTGGTGTTTTCCAGCTGGTTTCAGGAATTTCCAGAAGTGTCAATCAATTTCTAGGAGTTTTACCCACTGAGACCCTTAAACAAGTGGTAGTCTCCGGATTGTACGTTATTCCCGAAAGCATGGCGAAGGGTTCTTCCGCTGGGTTCACTTGAGTTGTTCTCATGAGAGTCAGTACAAGGTGTCATTGCAAGGAATCATCATCATGAAAGTCAATGCAAGGAGTCTCTGCAAGGAGTCATTGCAAGGAGTCATTGCAAGATATTGCAAGGAGTCATTGCAAGATATTGCAAGCAGTCATTGCAAGGAGTCATTGCAAGGAGTCATTGCAAGGAGTCATTGCAAGGAGCCATTGCAAGGAGTCATTGCAAGGAGTCATTGCAAGGAGTCATTGCAAGGAGTCATTGCAAGGAGTCATTGCAAGGAGTCATTGCAAGGAGTCATTGCAAGGAGTCATTGCAAGTCATTGCAAGGAGTCATTGCAAGGAGTCATTGCAAGGAGTCATTGCAAGGAGTCATTGCAAGGAGTCATTGCAAGGAGTCATTGCAAGGAGTCAAGGAGTCATTGCAAGGAGTCATTGCAAGGAGTCATTGCAAGGAGTCATTGCAAGGAGTCATTGCAAGGAGTCATTGCAAGGAGTCAAGGAGTCATTGCAAGGAGTCATTGCAAGGAGTCATTGCAAGGAGTCATTGCAAGGAGTCATTGCAAGGAGTCATTGCAAGGAGTCATGAGAGTCATTGCGAGCTGCGCATGGAGTCAAGTGCAAGTTGCAAGTGCAAGGAAGTCAAGTTGCAAGTGCAAGTTGCAAGTGCAAGTGCATGGAGTCAAGTGCAAGTTGCAAGTGCAAGGAGTCAAGTGCAAGTTGCAAGTGCAAGGAGTCAAGTGCAATTGACTTGCGAGGAGTTAAAATCTCTTCTTAGGGCGGCGGGGTAGTGCCGACGACGCTACACGAAAATCGACCCTCTGCGGGGATCGGCGTGGTCGAGGTGCAAAAACCCATGGTTTTCTGCGATTTCTAAAGTGCCGCGCGACCCTCTGCGGGGATCGGCGTGGTCGAGGTGCAAAAACCCATGGTTTTTTGCGATTTCTAAAGTTCCCGCGCGACCCTCTGCGGGGATCGGCGTGGTCGAGGTGCAAAAACCCATGGTTTTTTGCGATTTCTGCGGTGCTCGCGCGACCCTCTGCGGGGATCGGCGTGGTCGAGGTGCAAAAACCCATGGCGAGGCGACCCTCGCGGGGATCGGCGTGGTCGAGGTGCAAAAACCCATGGTTTTTTTGCGATTTGACCCTTTGCGGGGACGGCGTGGTCGAGGTGCAAAAACCCATGGTGTTTTGCGATTTCTGCGGCGCCCGCGCAACCCTCTGCGGGAATCGGCGTGGTCGAGGTGCAAAAACTCGAGGTTTTTTGCGACTTTTGTTGTTCGAACTGGTCCTCGGGAGTTGTCTCGTGGTTCGCGCGCCTGCTCCCGGAACCGGCGGGTCGCGGGTTCGATTCCTCCCTGGTCCGCGGGCGGGCGTCGCAAGATGCAACTTGCATTTTCAGGCAACTTGCGCAGAGCAACTTGCGCAGAGCAAGTTGCACAGAGCAACTTGCGCAGACCAACTTGCACCGACCAGTTTGCGCAGAGCGCCTTGCCTAGACCAGCTTGCGCAGAGCAACTTACGCAGAGCAACTTGCACAGAGCAACTTGCACAGAGCAGCTTGCACAGAGCAACTTGCAGGGAGCGCAATTTGCACAGAGCAACTTGCAGGGAGCCACTTGCAGGGACCAACTTGCCGGAGCAACTTGCGCGGAGCAACTTGCGCAGAGCAACTTGCACAGTGCAACTTGCGTAGAGCAACTTGCGCAGACCAACTTGCACCGACCAGTTTGCGCAGAGCACCTTGCCTGGTGCTGTCTCGCGCTTGCTTCACAAATGCTTCGTGGAGGGAAAAAGAACGCATCCTGCAGCGTTGGGCCGACCTCGCTTGCGATGTTATGCTTTCAGGCCAACCGTGGTCTAGTTTTTTATGATTTGGATTATCCAGGCAAGAGGGTTTAGGCTATTTTCTACAAATCGAAGCTTTCACATGCCACGGCCCCAATAGTTGGCCACGTGCCCTTTGAAGCTAAAACGGCGGGGCTTCGGTCCGCCTAATTCGATGAGACTCTCCAACTCATATGCCACACAAGTTGATACGTTCTGGTTTGGCGACGGCTTTCCAAGAGGGTTTCGGTCATGGGACGGCCTTGAACTCGCTGTCTCTAGGCATTGTGTTGGCAATGCCCGCTGGTGTGACGCCATGCGTTTGCAGCTTGACTCCACGAATTGTGGCGCCTTGAAAAACCAGAAAGAAGAAGAATTCACGCCAAAACATCGCTCCCAGGGTGCTGCAGGAGGGGCAGGAGGTGGAGCTGGTGGTCAAGACCGTCCGCTTCATCTGAGTGCGGCTGGTGCTCTGCTCTGGTGGCCGGTTGAGATCCCAGGAGCTCCCCGCACAAAGCGGCAGTTGAAGATGACCAAACAGCCAATGAAAACTTGACGGTAGGACGGCAACGCCGATGAAAGCCCCCAGCAGCTCCAAGTTGAACACGCGACGACCAATCAAAATGAGTCTGTAGCCTCACGGTGGGGCAACTCTTGGGATCTTGTCATGTCGCTAGACCTAGCGTGCGAATTGGAAGAGTTCTGGCGGCGATCTGTTCGATCAGCTGGGCCACCCTTAGAGACATCTTGAGGTCTAGTTGGCACTCCTGGCTTTGGTTAGCATGGCCTAATGATTGATCCAATCTGTGAGTTCCTGTTCAATAAATTATTCTGATCAAATTACAATCAAGGAATAATTTGCATGCAAGTTATTTCATTATATTGGACCATATACAAGTATATATATATATATATTTATATTCATGTTGGTAAAGTTTTTATTGGATTGGATTTAGAAATAATAGCGATATGTATGTGTTTCTTTGTTCTTTTCTTTGTAATTTGATTTTTAAATCAATTTGTTTAGAATAAATAATTATTTGAATATAATTATGAAAAAATAAAGATTGAACATTATTAGTATGTTTCATGTTGATTATAATTCTTATAACCTATATATGTATACATAAATAATAATTATAAACATATAATATTCTCCTATAAACCGGTGCGGCCTCGGGCTCGCGTTTCGCGTGCGCCGTAGAGCCATTACAGCGGTACTCCGGCCGACTCGTCGTGCTTGCGGCGAGTAGCTATGCCCGTCCCGGTCTTTTCTCCGCACAAGTTCTTGCCTCTTAGCGCAGCCCGGAAGTCCCCGTTTTTTTTTTTGAAATTTCGGGGGGGGGGGGTTCTTCATATCTTCGCTTAGAGTTCTCGCGGCATGATCTGCCCAAATTTTCCCAAATTTGGGGTCGAATTTTGCGGCTTTCCGAAAGATTAACAGGTCAAATTTCCGGGATTTTTTTTCTCTCTCTCTCTCTCTCTCTCTTTCTCTCTCTTTCTCTCTTTTTTTGTTTGTCTGTCTCTTTGTCTCTTTGTTTCTCTGCTTTTCTGCATCTTTGCCTTTCTTTTTCTCTTTCCCTTTGTTTTTCTGTCTTCCTATTTCTCTGTCTTTCTTTCTGTCTCTTTGCTTTTTTGTCTTTTTATTTTTCTCTCTGTTTTTCTCTCTTTTTATCTCTTTGTTTCTTTGCCTCTCTGTATTTTTGTTGCGTTGTTGTTTTTTCTGTGTTTTTTTGTCTTTTTGTGTTTCAACAAAATCTGGCAGCCAGCTGCAACCAATGCTTGGCAGCCATCAGCGTGGCACACCAGCAATTCAGTCGCTGGCAGCCAGCAGATGCTGGCAGTAGCACGCCAGCGAATATTGGCAGCCAGCCAATTCTTATAAGCCAGAAACGGCTTTACTGGCGCACCAGCAGCTGCAGTGGCAGGCAGCAATGGCCTCACTGGCACGCCAGCAGATGCTAGCAACCTAGCACGCCGGCAGCAACCCGAATCCCGAATCCCGAGTCCCGCGCCACGAAATTGCGGTTGGGATTTGGGATTCGCGAGCCCCAAATCCCGAAATTGGGATTGGGATTTGGATTCGCGAATCCCGAATCCCAAAATTGGGATTGGATTTTGGGGTGTGTTCCGTGATGGCAAGCTGTCCCTGTTGGGGTGTATTCCGTGATGGCCGGCGTTCGATTTGGACCACTGCATTGAAGTCAGACGAAGTACCGACTGTTTTGGCAATCACGCAAATCCTTGGGCCATCCTTAATGGCAGGTGCTGATGACTGATCCCTTGTAGCAAAGACTCCTCAAATTTGTTCCGTGGCGCGAAAGACCCAGAAAGAGTCGGAGTTGCCCGCAGATGACCAGTTGTCGTTCCACTGGGAGCTACATCTTTGGAGTGGAACCGGGGGGGGGGGGGAAAGGGTGGACAGGGTGGAAGGGGCTGCAAGGGCAGAAGGAATGGAAGCCGGTGCCAAGGTATTTGGTGGATTCATTTGTGTTTGGTGGTTTCAAAATGTGCGAAAGACCTTCTGTGGTTTCAAAATGTGCGAAATACCTTCTCATGGCATGTCAGCATGTGCTAATTATTGACTCAGTGGAAAGTAGTGTTTCAACATGACATGTGAGTATGTTGTTTTTCATACTTGGCAATATATATATATATACATATAATATGTATATATATATATATATATATGTATATGTGTGTACACACGAGCATGTCATTGTCATGTGCAGTGCACGAAACCCCCCACTAAACACAACCATTATCGAAATATGTTTGCCGCTACCTTAGCCTTGCACACTTGGCTCAAATTGCACCTGCGTTTGGCGCAAGAAAGAAATATTTGGCTCAAAGTGCATCCGTATTTGGCTCAAACAACGATTCTGAAAATACTGTGCTGGGCCGACATTTTGCCACAGCGTAGCTTCTTCCTGGCTTCCTGATGTAGGGATCAGAAGTCAGTGTAAGAAACCATGAAAGAGAAAGGCACTCTCTTCAAGACTCAAGGGTAAATGCTGAAGTCAGAACTTGAGGGCAGAGGGCCAGATGTTGAAGCCAGAAGCCAGCCAAGATGCCGAATCGAAGCCAGAAGCAAGAGGAAAAATGGCAAGCCAGATTCCGAAGCGAGAAGCCAGAAATTGAAGCCAGAGGGCATGATGCTGAAGCCAGAAGCCAGGAGCCATAAGCCAGAAGTCAGAAGCCAGAAGTCAAAGCCATGAGCCACAAGAAGAAGGCAGAAGCTGCGACGAAATGTGAACTTCAGTTGGCTTAAACTACACATGACATGTGCATCGACTGGCCCAGTGGCCTACTGGTATGGGCGTCGATGATGTGGGTAAAAGCCGCATCACACGGCGAAGATCGTGGGTTCGAGTCCCACCTGGGCTATCCTTTCAAAAAACCAAAATGCAAATTGGGAGCCATAGGGGCAGAAAGCCAGAGGCCAAGGAATCCGAAGCCAGAAGTTGAAACCAGAGAGCCAAATGCCGAAGCCAGAAGGCAGCAGCCAGAATCAGAAGGCAGAAGCCAGAGTCGAGAAACTCAGAACTTGAAGCCAGAGTGAGAGCCACAAGACTGGATGTGAAGCAATTGGAACCAAAGAAAGGAAGGAACGTGACCAAACACAAGGCAATAGGAAACTGAATGTCAATGTCTGATTCAGTTTCAAGGCAAATACCATTTTGCGAGTGTCAACCCAGAACTTCAAGTTGGCTCTGCAGCACCACGCCTTTTCAGCGCTCATTAGTCCATCACAAGCGCACACACGTCCTCATCTTGATCCTCATCTTCTTCGCCTGCCACCCGCCGATCGAGCTCAGCAGAGCCATCAGATTTCCAAATCACAATGGGCCTCGGCTCACCGTGCGCATGAGGATTTCTTTGCATCACTGCACGGCTTCTGGCATCTGACGCGTCAAAGCGGTGTCTCAAGAAGGAATACTCCGGAGGTCGGGAATGGCGTCGCAGCGTTTCCTGTGCCCAGTTCTTCAAATATGAATGAGCTTCCTGCGAAATAGCACCGCTCTCAAAGGCAGCTGTTGCTTTCTGCACAATCTTCTGTCGATCTGCCCAGCTGATGTGTCGGCGAGGGTGGTTACCAACAGGCTGCAAGCTCACTGACGCCCGAGCGCTCTCCATCTCGGTGGCAGGGACAAGCGTACAGACTTGGTATGGCCTTGCGTCGCTCATAAACTGGTGGAGTGCCAAAACGAGATCACCAGGATGCGGAGGGGGTGCGTTGGCAAACGACGTTTGGCGCGCCTCAGCAATGTTTTCTGGCTTCAGCTGCTGACGCAACACAATCCGAAACCCGTGAGGGGCTTTTGGCCCTGTGAGCTGGGCGAAATCCAAACCGATCTCATCCACCCATTGCCGCCAGCAGGCTGCATTGTCATGTTTGTACGCTGCTTTGTGAAAGGTTCCAGATTCGAACTCTGCACTGTCCAAAAAGCTTTGATATACACTTAATAGTCCATCTGCAGAATCGAACGTGTTGTGACTGCAGCGTACCTGAAGTGCCAGACTGACTGCGGCGGTCACTGCTTTTTTAATGAAACAAAATGAAAAGCCAGGACATTAGTTGGCCAACAAAAGATATGAGTTGAAAGCTAAGCAGCTACTGCGTGACCCCCAATGCCGTCCAATGGACCATGGGTGTGACCCTTGATCGGGAAAGCAATGTAGATCGACTCAAATACGCTCAAGAGCCGTAGTTTAATCCAATACTTCAACATGTGCTGATTTTTGTTGTCGCGCGATGTATTGTCTAATACCACATAGACGTGTCTTGGAAGGGCGCGGTGCTGATCAAAAATTGTAGAGAGGCACCTCGACAAGGCGTCCATGTGCACTGTAGAATCCTTTCTGACGTCTGGCTCAGAGATGCAGAACTCAAAGAGATGAAAGTGGCACCAAATCATCTGGCAGTGCGTGGCCGGCCTGATCACTGTGTCAAACATCTTGCTATGAACCAGAACTCGTGGCGCTCGGTGCTTGGCCTGACCTAGGCCATCCGAACGAAGAAGCAGCACCGAGTGCTGAAGCTCTCCCAAAGGGATGCCAGACATCATGGCCTGGCGAGTCTGGCTAGCCTGCGCATGCCAAGCAGCATCCACCTGGCGGTCTCTCCAGTTGCGAAGTAAATGCGAGGCGTAGTCTTCCACACACTGGGTCCTCAATCTGACCGGCAACTGCTTACGAAGCTCCCGCTTATAGTGCATGCACTGATCGCAAAGGCCATGCTGGCCAGCCGCCTTGCGAAAGCTCAGCCATTTGGAGGCAGCGCGCAGGGCACGACGGAACGTGGTCCATGATGGAGTCAACAACTGATTCTGATGACACCAAGCTCTGCACAGCTCGTACATTACTGCAGGTTTTATCACCCCCAAGTACCTTCTGGGCGCATCAGCCATTTGCGGGCCTGTCATGGCATTGTCAAATGGGTTACAGGCAACCACAGCCTTGACAGCCAGTGAGTTCAGTGCCCTGAGGTCCTCTTCATCCAAATCTGCATTTGCTCTGGCATCTTCGTCTTCTGACTCTGACTCATAGGTCGTG